GTGTACCACAGTTAGGTGTACGTGTCTTATCTCTCCGGGATCAGCTGTCAACTCCTACAAGGCATAGACTTTACCTTGTTCACCTCTATCACCCTCAAAGTCCTTAGCACCTCGCCTGACACCAAGTTAAGACCTTAGTTAATTCTAGTTAGATGGTTGGTCAGATGGCTGTTTGATTTACTGGAAAGTTGGAGTCTCCTTTCCACTACGGAGTCATTTGTAGTCTTTATCCTCTTTAATGATCACATAGCAATAGGTCATTGGGGCCTCAAGGAGGAGAAAATATGAGTCATGCTATTATCAGAGGGATAAGGGAGGGCAAAACATCTCTCATTTGTGCAAGGGTCACAGCCATGAAGCTGGGACATCAACACAATGTTATGAATTGAACTGTGCCCCCCCCCCCAATATGTGTTGTAAATCCTAACCTCTGTGGTTATAATCCCATCTGGAAATGGATTGTTATGTTAATGAGGCAGATTTAGTGTATTTTGAGTCAATCTCTTGAGATACTTTTTAAGTGCTATCCATTCAGTTCTTACTCTTAGCAACCCCGCATAATGTTTCTGAGGCTTCACATCTTTGCAGGAGCATATTTGAACCATGTGGTTCATGGTTTAGTACTTATAGTAGGGAGCCACTGCGCTCCCTTCTTGAGATACTAGATGCTCATGGGGAAAAAAAAAAATGGAATTAACAAGATTTTTTCGCAAACTTTTTGAAGCTCCCTCGTATTAGATTAAATGAAAACTAGAAGCAAAAATGGGGGAAGAGAGATGCCAAGATACAGGGAGATCTACAAGAAGTCAGGAAGCAGAAGCTAAAGAGACAAGGATTTTCCTCAAGGACCGACAGCGAGAGAAAGTCTTCCCCTAGAACTGGCACCCTGAATTTGGATTTGTAGCCTCTGAAACTATGAGGAAATCCATCTCTGTTTGTTGAAGCCGTCTACTTGTGATATGTTATAGCAGCACTGGATATTAAGATGTACAATAACCTCATCGTCCTCTTGATCTGTGGCTAATCTAAATTACTTTATGATGGAAGGCAATGGGGTGATCAGAGAGCTATTTACCTTGGATCCAAACTCAGGGAAATTTCTAGGAAACTACTTAGAGTAAGGCTTTTCTTGCTCAATTGGCCAAGGAAAACGTTCATTGTCGGATTTGTTTTTCTGGTTGAGGATAAGCTTCTAACTTCTCTCATAGAATCATCCCAGCTAAGCAAAGGCCAGCGTCATCATAAACTGAGGGCTCTGTTCTTCTCAATGGATCTCTGGTGGCACAAAGACAAAGTGCTCAGCTGCTAACTGAAAGGTTGGTAGTTCAAACCCACCCAGTTGCTCTGCCAAAAAAAAAAAAAACCAAAAAACCTGGTGATTTGCTTCCATACAGATTACAGCCCAAAACAAAACAACAACAACCAAAAAAACCTATGAGCCAATTCTACTTTGTCACGGGGGATGCTGTGAGTCAGAATTAGTTAGTTCGACAGCACCACCACCATTTCCCTCAAAGATCCTTGTATTCTAGTGGCAGCCAGAGAGACAGGCGGATTGAAGGAGTTTGAGTAGAATCCCAGACCCATATTTTAACAGAAAGAATATCAAACTTATATTCACACAGATATTCTGTGACATTAGAGGATTGACTCACCTCTTGGGCCCTCCATTTTGTCTTCTTTAAAAGACCTGTTTCTCTAGCCCTGGTGCCACAGTGGGCCTGCTAGCCTCAAGGTTGGCGATTCAAATCCACCAGTTGCTCTGCAGGAGAAAGATGAAGCTCTCTACTCCCATAAAAAATTACAGTCTTGGAAATCCTAAGCAGCCGTTTTACTCTGCCCAGTAGGCTTGCTATGAGTTGGAATTGGCTCAAAGGCAATGGGTTTTGACTTGGTTTTCCCTGGACTATTTGAAGGATGCTGCTCCCTAAACACAACCAAGTCAGCAAGGCAACCCCATCTTCCAACCTATAGTGTTCTCAAGCAAAGGTTTTGGGGTGCCAGATCAGACACATGACCTCTTTGGAAGCTTCTGTAATAAGAACCTCTTCTTCCTTTATTCCTACCCGCTGTCATGCCCTCTAGATGAGCATGGATGCTGGGGTCTTAGCCTCACTTCAGGAGGGCAAGGGGAGTGCCTGGTATTTGATAGCTATGTCCTATGTCCCTGAACACCCATAGGAGGAGAATGAGCCTCAGTGGGCCCTCTAGGCCCAAGGTCAAGTGAAGCTGAATCTTGCGGGGCACCATATAATTAGTGTTGCTGCAGTTAGCACCTTTAGGAGTTGTTCTTATTAAGTGCCGTCATGTTGGTTCCCACGCATAGCAACCCTGTATAGGATTTCCAGGGAGCAGCTAATGGGTTTGAACAGCAGACCTTTAGCAATTGTTGTTGTTAAGTGCCTTTGAGTCAGTTCTGACTCATAGCAATCCTGTATAGGGTTTCCGAGGAGCAGCTGGTGAGCTTGAACCGCCGACCTTGTGGTTCAAACCGACCTTGCAGTCCAGTGCATTAATCTGTAGCAATTAGGCTTTGTCAATTCCCAGGGAGGTTAGACCAGGGCCAAATCATCAGCCTCCCAAATCCCCACACTTCCTGAGTAAGAAATGTGTCTCGTTAGAATGTAAGCCCAGTAACCCTCCTGGTTGGTTGGCCGGCGGGGCTGGGTCCACATTAGTCAGCTGGTCAACAAGGCAAGCAGGCAGTTCAAGGTGATCTATTTAGTGAATGGTTTCTGCTTTCACAGATCCCCCTCATGAGAAGAGAGCCTATGTGCCACCATTGTCAACTTGCTTGTCATAAGTTATTGTTTTCCTCAGGCAACTTGGAGCACCCGGACAGATCCTTTCTATTCTGGGAATCAGAAGACTGGGACATTAATGCCAGCTGTGTTGTTGTTGTTGTTGTTGTTAGGGTCCTTCAAGTTGGTTCTGACTCATAGCGACTATGCACAACAGAACCAAACACTGCCCCATCTTCAGCTGTGTGGCTCTTAGTTTCCCCATCTACCAAACAGAATCAAATCGATTTCACCTTCCTCATAACTGCGGCTCAGGAAATGAATGAAGACATAAACACATACGCATTTAGCAAATCAATGAAATCACACAATGATTGTGGAAAGGGAGGAGTGCTGGGCGAGATGAAGAGAGTGTTTTCCAGTAAAGTTTAGAATTTTCTATCCGCCCAGTGGAGAGAAATTTTAGTTTCCATTCTACCCTCTCTTTAGCCCAATTCCCTCAAGTCACACCTACCCTGTCTGGAACCCCTTTAATCAACAAAACACTTATTCAATCAACAATTGTTTATTGATCACCTACAAGTGCTCAGCATTCTTACAGATAGTCTAAGGAATACAAAGAGCGCTAATACACAGCCTCTGCCTTCCGAGAGTTTGCAGTGTACTTGTGAGATCAGACAGCCACACAGGAAACAGAACTATCACACATTGTGAATGACAAGCATCCAATATGCAATTTATACATTGAGGGCAGGAGAAGAGAGGAGTAGGGGAAAGACGGAGTGGTCCGAGAAGGCTCAATTACGGTGGTGGTGAGTCAATGCTCCAAGTTGGAGGGGAAGGGTACTGGAGTTTTCAAAAAGCATTAATCATTCCTTAGGTTAGTGAAGGGAAAATGCCTTTAGCTTGTTTATGACCCTCCTCACCCAGGGCAAATGGAGGATTGTCATCCTTCGAAGCTGGAACTAATCTGCCTGAGTAGAGAACGATAGTTCTCTACACTCCCACCTCAACTGCAATTCCAGGCAGCAGCCCAACTATTACACAGATCATGGGCCCAGCACCCTGGGCACGGATGTCCCACGCTGGAATCCTTGGATGCTGAAATGTCTTCTGAGAGGATAATGGGGAAGTGTGGTGTGTGAGGGGTGCCCACCTGGTGCTGCGGTCATTTGGAGGCTCTGTGTGTCGACTCTGGGTGGCCTGTGGGTTGATTTTCCATTTGGCCTGCAGGCGCTATTGGGAGGGGGGCACCTCTCTCTGGTTGAGCAGAAACGCTCAACGGAGCCACCATACATGTTCCCTCAGCTTCGTAGATACCAAAGTTCTAATTGTTAACCAATTTGAAAGCAATAGTATCTTCTTCAGTTTCTCCCAGCTTCTGTGCTGTCATCCCCCAGCCAAGGATAATCTCTAGGAAAACTGTTTTCCTGTTCTTAAGGAAACTGTTGTCTAGGACCCGTAGTTTGCCCTTTAGGCAGGAGACAACGTTAGGTGCCACAGAGGGAGACCAGGGCTTCGGTGAAAGTTGGGGCTGCAGTTCTGAGGCAGTTCCTCAGTGGAATCTGCTGCAGTCTTTAGCTTTCCACTAGCTCTTCTTTACTTGTACTTTCCTCTAGCCCCAGGTAGAAGTCTGGTCCCTGACCTGAGAGTGTGTGGGAGTTTTGGAAAACGCCCCTGAGGAGTGCTGGTTTTTTATGATTCCAGGCCTTCCTTCCCTCTCATCCTGTCCTCCGGATATCGTGGGATGACTTTATTTCAGTTCACGCATGAACCAGTCTGGGCACTAGAGTCATAACAAGAGTGGGCTGGAGGCTTTAGGGCCCAATCAGTTTCTTCGGAGGGAGCCTTGAGAAGGAGGTTACAGCGGTGCCTATAAAGGCACTTCTCCTTCCTCCCACCCCCCCACTCCAGCAATGAGCTCCCAACCAACCTGAGACAAAGGGACAGTCTTAGGTCACAGAGAGGGTCAGCCAGTGAAATCTAATTCATGGGCCTTTGGATGGATTCCTATGTAAACAAAAAGGGTAGAGGGGTCAGAGTTGGGAGTTGGGGGGTTCAGGGCAAGAGGCGAGGGAAGCAGAAAGCCTGTCTTGGCAATTATCCTTGACAATTCAACCTGCATGTTGCCACACCAGCTCCCCTTTCTGCCTTTGCTTGATCAGATGGTCCAAGTCAGTGTTTCCTCAGCAGCACCTTGTGATGTGATCCTGTGGCTCTCACAGACCCAGCCAACTCCCAGTTCTGGCCCCTGGCTCCTCACACATACCCAGTCAGGCTGTAGGAGTTGAATTCACTCTTGATTTTGGGTGGTTGACCAGGCCTTGGAGAGCTCCTGGTGGCAAGGGGCTGAGCCTGGTAGGCATCATAGTAGTTGGGACGGTTGCCTTGGAATGGGCAGGAAAAGCAGAGGATGATTCCGGCTACCAAGGAGAACAGGGAGGAAATAATGCCCAAGTAGAGTGCCTCTCCAATCTCAAATTTCATGCTGTCAGGCACCAGTGGGGAATAGAAGTCCCGAAGGATCCCATGAAGATTCCAGGCGACAGGGATAAAGCCCAGAAGACCTCCAAGGATGAAGAAGACTCCGCCCACTACCGCCACTCTGTCTTTGGCTTGGGAGTCCCGGCAGAACACTGTGCATCTCATGCCCACCACAGAGATAATGCAAGCCAACGAGGAGACTGCACTCGAGGTTACCATCATGGCTTGGGCAGCCTGGATGTCAGAGGGCAGGCCTAGAAGAGTGCTGTAGATGTCACACTGGGTGATGCCTGTGCTGTGAGTGGCACATTCCATCCAGAGACCCTTGGAGAAGCCAACTGCAGTCACAATGCTGGCACCGACGTAAGAACTTGTTCGCCAGCTGGGGAGCAGCATGGCAACCAGGGTGCCCAACAGTCCCAGAAGACCCAGGATGTAGCCCACGAGTTGGAGACCGAGAGAGGCCATGGCAGACCTCTCAGTAGGAGTATCTTCAGGGCCCTGTTCGCTCGTCGTCTTCTGGCTGCAGCTCTTACTCCTTGGATTCCGGCTTCTAATCCCTCATTTCAGAGTGCCTCTTCCAGGCTGACGCCTCTCCTCCTTACAAGTATCTGTGGGTGGCCACAAACAGCCTCAAGAAGGCATCTAGAAGACTTAAAAAAAAAAAAATCCATAAACCAGATTAAATATTGACCAGAAGCTTATGAGAAACCAGAAAATGCTGGATGCCTTTTGACCTTTGTTATCTTTACAAATAACATGAGAAAGGAAAAAAAAAAACAAAACCCTTGAAAGTGGAGCCAAAACGCCATCGCCTCCTGCGTAGGCACATGCTTTAGGTTGGCAACCAGACAAAACCAGGGTCCAGACAAGTGGCTGGTTTCCGAGAAGGTAGTGATGGCGGCAAGGGTGGGTTACCCAATAAGCAAAGTAAGATAGTGACACTGTTCACTATAGATCAGTAAGTTAGCACAAGAAAGCCCATGCTTACCTTGCTTATTGGGTAATCCTACACTGGATGGCCGTGGCTGTTGTGGTGGCTGGCATAGCTCCCTCGCCAAAGCCTGTTGTTGAACACAGGACTCGTCAAGATCAGACAATGGCCAAATTCCAGAGCACTGGATCAGGAGGAACAGATCCTAGGATGCTACTTTGGACTCCAGCTTGTGAGGGGCCTCTTACATCTTCAACAGCCTGATAGTACTGACCTAGACTGGGGTCAACCTGCCATGGTAGAGATCTACTACTCCAGTAGGCAATGAAGTCTTTTGTTAGCAACGTTTAAGAGTGCAGGTCCTCCCAGCCCTATATAACCTCTGCCCCACCTCTCCCTCCAGACTAGCCTAAGGCCTTCTATGTATAACACACCCAGCATTTCCTGTTTGGTGTCCTAATAGGTACCCCTACCAGCCCAAGGCCTCTCAGATGATGTGGAGGACTCTGGAGCAAAGGTTGTTCTAGGGCTGGAGGGAGTCCTGCAATTTCCTGGGACATCTATCAGGGGTACTAGGGCAGACCTAGGAAACGAAAGTTCCACAACAGAAGACTTTGTGAGAGGCAGCCATCCAAGTTGGGCATTTGGAATCAGAACTTTTCTGGATTTTGCCGTGTTTAGAGCTCCCACTCTAGCCACAGTTCAAGACGCTTGAGTCAAGGGCAGGTCCCCATCCTTAACAAGATCCACCAGCCCACTAGTTCTTCATTCCATTGTACCCTTCTTCAAATTTCTCTCTCGGCAGTTCAAACTTACCAGCTGCTCCTTGGAAACCCTATGCGGCGGGTCTCTATGAGTCGGAACCGACTCGACAGCGCTTAGCAACAATAACATTCATCTCCTGGAGCTCTCATGTGGCACTGTAAGATAAGCATAGGACCACAAGGTTGGTTTAAACCACAAGGTCAGTTTAAACTCACCAGCTGCTCCTTGGAAATCCTATACTGGTTTGCTATGAGCTGGAACTGACTTGATGACACTTAACAACAGCACCAACAACATTCATCTCTTAGGAGTCCTGGAGTGGTGCTGTAAGATAATCACTGGACCTCAAGGTTGATTTGAACCACAAGGTCAGTGGTTCAGACTCACCTGTTACTCTTAGAAACCCTATACAGGGTCACTATGAGTTGGAACCAACTCAGTGCCACTTAACAACAATAACAACATCCATCTCTTAAATGTCAGTATTCCTCAAAGGCCCTTTCTCCATCAACACTGTCCCTGAACAACCTTACCCACTACCGTGGTTTAAACGGTCACCCATCCACTGGCATTTCCAAATCTGTATCTCCAGGACAGACCTTCCTCCTGAGGACCGATAGACCAATGATCTATTAAAATCGTCTGCTTGGAATTCTCAAATTCGACGTGCTCATAAGAGAACTCATCATCTTGCCACCACCGCCCTTTCCAAACAACTCTTTCCTGGTTTCCTTGTGTCATTGAATGGCACCTCTATCCATCCTCTTGTGCTTCACTAAAAATCCTGAAAGTAATCCTTGACATCTTTCTCTCCTTTACTCCCCACATCCTACAGTCACTATGTCCCACCAATTCTGCTCTTGTGAATATACTTTTAATCTCTGTGACTCCCTTCTTGCCATCCCCACGGCAACTTCCCTAGTTCAGGGTGTCACCATCCTCTCACCTGGACTACAGTAACAGCTTTGCTAACTGGTCTTGCTTCCAATCTTCCTTCATCCAACTCATTCTTCACACTGTTGCCAAGTTGATCTTTCAACATATTACTCTGTTCAACTCACTACTCTACATAAAGCATTCCAATGGCTCCCCATCACCTAAAGGATAAAGTCCAAACTTGTTTGCACTCCATGACCTCTCAGGCTACATCTCTTGCCACCCCCTCCTTCCTTACTCTTACTGAACTTAATTACTTCTAATTCCTCAATCATGTCATGTTACCGTGTTATCTTTTGCTTACAAACCTGAATGCAAGCTGTTCCTTCTATGCTGCATTTTCTGCCTCCATTTCTTCCTCAGGTTAGAGCTTTCTTATCCTTTAGAGTTCAGCTCAGATGCCTTTTACTCTGCTCTAAGTTAGATACAGCTTTCCGTGTTCCAATAGTATCTTGTGTCTATTTACCTCTATCATAGTAACAATAATAGCAATAATAATTACTATTGTTAGGTGCCAAAGAGTCAATTCCGACTCAGAGTGACCTTGCGGTGCCCAGTCCAGTGGTGACCCTACAGCACCATACCAGGTCCCTGCTGAGACACGGTAGGATAAGCACAGGACCGCAAGGTCAGTTTCAACCACAAGGTCAGCAGTTCAAACTCACCAGCCGTTCCTTGGAAACCCTACACAGGGTCGCTATGGGTCGGAACCGACCCTATGACACTTAATAACAACAACAACATGTGACTATTGGCGGACCTAGTGGTTAATGAGCTCAGTTGATGGTTTAAATCCACCCAGAGGCACCTCAAAAGAAAGTTCTGGTGATCTACTTCTGAAAAATCAGCCATTGAAAACTCTGTGTAGTGCAGTTCTATTTTGACACTCATAGGGTTGCCATGAGTGGGAGCTGATTTAACGGCATCTGGTATGTGAGCAGTACAAGTTCTTTGCATGTGTCAACTCATTTATTCATTCATCACAACAACTCTTTGTGGTGGTTGTTATTAGCTGCCATCAAATTGGTTTTGACTCATAGCAACCCTATGCACAACAGAACAAAACATTGCCTGGTCCTGTGCCATTCTCAGAATTGTGGTTATGTTTCAGTGTTTGTTGCTGACACTGTGTCAATCTATCTTGGAGTGGGGGGTCTTTCTCTTTTTCTATGACCCTCCACTTTACCAAGCATGTGATGTCCTTTTCCAGGGACTGATCCCTTCTGACAATATTCTTCACCATTAATTCAAAGGCATCAGTTCTTCTAGAGTCTTCCTTATTCAATGTCCAAATTTCACATGCATATGGAACAATTGAAAGTATCATGGTGTGGGTCAGTACACCTTAGTTTTAAAATTGACATCTTTAACACTTTAAAGAGGTCTTGTGCAGCAGAGTTGCCTCATTCAATATATCTTTGGATTTCCTGACTGCAACTTCCATGAGTGTTGATTGTGAATCCAAACAAAATGTAATTTTTGATAGCTTCAATCTTTTTTCCATTTATCATGATGTCATTTGTTGGTCCAGGTGTAAAGATTTTTTTTTTTTTTACATTGAGATGCAATTCATACTGAAGCCTGCAGTCTTTGTAAGTACTTTAAGTTATCTTTGCTTCCAGCAAGCAAGGTTGTATTATCTGTATATCACATGTTGTTAATGAGTCTTCCTCCAAGCCTGGCCCCATGTTCTTGATATAATCCAGTTTCTCTGATTATTTGCTCAGGATACAGATTGAGTACGTATAGTGAAAGGATACAACCCTGGCCCACACCTTTCCTGCATTTAAACCATTCAGTATCCCTTTGTTCTGACAACTGCCTCTGATCTATGTACAGGTTCCTCATGAGCACAATGAAGAGTTCTGGAACAGTCATTCTCTACAGTGTTATCCATAGTTTGTTATTATCCAGAGTTGAATGCCTTTGCGTGGTCATAAAACAAAAGTAAACATATTTTTGGTATTCTCTGCTTTTAGCCAAGATCCACCTGACATCAGCAGTGTCCCATGTCCTCTTCTGAACCTGGCTTGAATTTCTGGCAGCTCCCTGTCAATATACTACTGCCATCATTTTTGAATTATCTTCAGCAAAATCTAACTTGCATGTGATACTTCATATTATGATGAGTTGATGGTTTTCATGTTCGATTGGGTCACCTTTCTTTGGAATGGGCACAAATATGTATATCTTCCAATTGGTTGGTGAGGTAGCTCTCTTGAAAATTTCTTGGCATACGTAAGTGAGCGCTTTCAGCTCTGCATCACTTTTGTTGAAACATTTCAATTTCTGGAACCTAGTTTTTTTGCTAATGCTTTCAGTGCATTTTGGATTTCTTCATTCAGTACCATTGTTTTTTTTTTATCATATTCTACCTCCTGAAATGGTTGAATGTCAGCTAATTTTTTTGGTACAGTGACTCTGTACTTCTTCCATTTTCTTATGTGCTTCCTACATTGTTCGATATTTTCTCCATTGTTGTTGTTAACTGCCGTAGAGTTGGTTCCGACCCATAGAGACCCTGTATAGGGTCTCCTCAAAGCTTGTTGGTTTTTCTTTCTTTCTTTCTTTCTTTTTTCTTCTTTAATTCTTTCATCTTGAGAAATGTTGAATATGTTCTTCCTTTTTGGTTTTCGAACTCCAGGTCTTTGCATGTTTCATTACAATATTTTACTTTGTCTTTTTGACCTGCCTTTTGAAATTTTCTGTTGTGCTCTTTTACCTCATTTCTTTAGTTTTAGTTACTCTTCATTGAAGAGCAAGTTTCAGAGTTTCTTCTGACATCCATTTTGTTTTGTTTTTTACTTTCTTATATATTGCAATTCTATATTTAAATACTTATTTTTCTCTGATAGTCAGGAACTTATTGTGGTAGTGGTGATGTGTCATCAAGTCAGTTTCTATTTACAGCTACGCTTTATTGAATTTCCAAGGCTGTAATCTTTCCGAGAGTAGAATGTCTTATCATTCTTCCCTGTTACAACTTGTAATCCACTACGCTTCCAGAGATCC